AAAAGAGGGGAAGAAAGCCTTTACATGAGTTTTTAGATCCCATTTTAAAACAGGGAAAAGAGAGAGAGAGAGAGAGAGAGAGAGAGAGAGAGAGAGAGAGAGAGACAAACGAAAAAGAAATCCCCCATTGTGTGCACAGTCCAGTTGCCAACCCTCCCTCGAGGGATTACGGACGAAGCTTCTGGGTCCTGTCACTTCTGTGGATTTGCCCGGCTGTTTAACTGGTGTCCATCTGTGCATTGTACTCATCCAGCTGTGCATCCAACTGCTCGGCAGAAAGAGGCTCCTTGGAGTTCCTGCTCGAACCTCCTCTACCTCTTCCAGGGCTGCCTCCACGGGTCCCTCTCCGGATGAGACCGCCACCAAAACACCATGAGCCATGGTTTCTACTCATGGAACCTCTGATCATTCTCTGTGCGGGTTTTCTTTGTGAGTCAGTCTGTGATGTCACAAGCTGAATGTTCATGGGGCGGCCATCTAAAGGGACACCATTGTACTGTTTCATAGCCTTCAGAGCATCTGCCTTCTGTCGAAAGTGCACTTGGGCTGTCCCTAAACTTCGTCCGGAGCGATCGTAGTGCACAGCTGCTGTCTTCAGTGTTCCAAACACTGAGAAGAGTTCCAGAATATCCGCGTCTGACACCCCGCAGTCAAGGTTTGACACCAACAGCTTTCCGCCCATCTCCAAGCTGGCTCCACCACAGAAGCGGCTGTCGAATCGGTCATGCTGCCCCTTGTTGGGAAGTTGTATAGGCCTGCTGTACGGAGCCGGCCGGTTCCTGCCTCCTCCTGCAGAGCCACCACTCATGGTAGGCCGGTTCTTCAGAGACCAGCTGCGTCGATTCGCCCACACAGGGGCCCGCCTGGCACCACCGTGGCGGCCCTGGTAGCCGGCACTGCTCCAGCCCTGGCCTTTGCCGCGACTGCCTTGCTTGCTCCGGTTCAGCTTAATGATGTCATCCAAAGACATATCCATTTTGTTGGCCATGGTGGTCTCGGAATCAGACCTCGTGTTCTCCAGAATTCTAATTCGTGCTTAAAAACCTGGAATCAGATACCACGACAATACGGAAAAATTGGATTACAGACCTGTGTCGACACCAGCTTGTTTAAAACTCCTTTTCTAACTGGGAAAATACGGTGGCCTGGTACCATGAAACAGGCTCAAGAGTGTAACTTTAAGGACCCGGCACAAAAACACAAATTTCTGTTTTTCTTTTTCTTTTCAGAGAAATATTCTCACCACGAAGCCCAGGCTGAAGTAGAAATCAATACAGTGAAGGGATAGCCTGTATCTCACTGACTTCCAGCTGTCTTTGCCTCACCAATGGTGGGATAAAACTTGTTTTCCACCAATCTGTCAAATTCCTATTTAGAACGCTATATTAACTTGACAGTGCATATTTCTCAGTTGAAAAAGTAATGCTGGGTAAAAATTTCAATGTTAAATGTTAGTGTTTACAACTATGCGCATGGAACTCAAAAATGCTAATTTTGGATGTGATTTCAAACAAGCTGTTCTCACCCACAGATGCTAGACTGCTGCAATCCTAGAACATCATTTCTGAGTACAAAGCACTGTAAGTAAGCTGCAGACATTGACCCTCATCATGTAAAATGTCCACAGTTACATTCCTGGGGTTTAGCAAAAACACAAATTAAAACAACAGGTTTTGTAGCCAGAATACTAATTAGTCTTAGTAAACCCAGAGTCAGAAATCAGAGTTAATTCTGAAAGGGCAGAGAATCAAAGACCCAATCCCAAGTGTGACTTCTTACCTCTCGTGAATCCTTAGGCACAAAGGAGGAGAACCGGTGTCTAGAATCCTCAGACTGAATGGGGTGAGCTGGCTCTCTTCCTGCATTATATACCTCCCTCTGCCAAGCCACACCCCTTCTGTCTCCACCTCCTCAGTGCTGGGATTAAAGGTGTGTGCTCAGTTTCTCTGAGAATAATTCAATCTCTTGTAGTGCTTGGTGACCTTGAACATTTCCTCATTTCAAATGCTTGGTTTATCTGGGCGGTGGTGGCACACGCCTTTAATCCCAGCACTCGGGAGGCGAGAGGCAGGAGGATCTCTGTGAGGTCGAGGCCAGGCTGGTCCGAGAGCCTCCAAATCCATACAGGAAAACCCTGTCTCAGAGCCAGGAGTCTTGATGTGCACAAGAATTTAAAGCCTCCACCATTGTGACCAGCTTCCTTGGTATCATAAGGCAATCTGTAAACTTTTAAAGCTGTAAAGGGAAGCCTTCCCGCCAGCCTGGTTTCAGAGCGGCATCAGGGCCAAATAAATACACAGGAGGCTACATTAATTATGAGGCTGTTGCCCTTGTATGTTTCCTACTGGCTAGCCCTGACAAAAGTATTTATCCCATAATTGATAATCGAATTATTTCTCTTACAGGAGAACTTTACGGGCGTCCTAAACCATGGCCTAATATCTTGAAATCTGTGTTTCTCCTTCACAGAGTCCTCCTTGATTCCTAGTCCCACCTATCTTGCTTTGCTATTGGCCAACAGTTCTTATCGACAAATACACAAGACTTCGCCCAACATAAAGCCAAGTGCCCTTCCCAGGTATGAAAATTATGAACCATAACAATGGTCTGCACTGCGTGATAGCCTGAAGGCTGCAAGAGCAGCACACAGACATTGGTGGTAACCAACAGCTTATAATTGGACTTCAGGAGGAATCAACCACAGGAAAGTCATGTCTGCATCTGAAAGCCTAGCCTGTTTCTGAGCATTAGGCAAGGATATATCTTGAAGGAGAACCTAAATGTACAATGCATGACTCACATGAATATCCATATAAGATTGATTTTCCCACTAGTAGCAATTTTTATATATAGAAAGTCTTCTCATAGCTATAGCAGGATAATTCTGAGATCTTTCTCGTTGGAAGTCTATAGAATTATTCCTAGTAGAACAGAATGCGGGAAAACTGAATTGTGTCCCACAGGATCATTCTCTACCGTCTCCTCCCTCTCCACTTTCTAGGACTTTTTGTCTGGCTCCGCAGGTGCGCAGAACTGGGGGATTGATTGCCCCCAACATGAGAAAGAGATCATTCACAAGGAAAGTGCCTGGATTGTTAACACAGAAGTCTACACGAGTAGTTAAAGTTATAGGACTCTACAAGTGATTCCCCATTTGACATAAACAGGCATAGCATGGAAAATCACTAGAAACCAGCTCTTCAGTGAGTGTAACTTGAATGCCACTTCCAATCACTTCCCAGTCAAACCTCAGGAGCAGAAATGGAACTGAATGTTTGGGATCACAAAAGCACATAAAATGAATTACTTAATTTGTTGTAGACCAAATTTAATGAAAATCTGCCTGAAAGAAATACACTTAACAAGTAATTTCCCAAGAAACCCTCAGGAGGAGCAAGGGAGGCAGCAAGGAAACACTTCTCACCCACACAAAGCAGACTGCTGCAACTCGGCCACATCCATTCTCTGTAAAAATCCCCCCCTGAGCAGGCTGCAGCCATTGACCCTCCTCTTGTGGGAATTACACAGTCTCACCACTAGGTGTCAGCTCACAACAAACAAAAACACAATAGGTTTTGAAGCCAGAATTCTCTTTTTATTTTCTTTCCTACACACAATTCTAGTTTATTATGGCAAAGGTGAACATGCCACCTTCTCCACAACAGTCACCAGTAAAACTGATCGCCAAAGTGACTCGGTACAAAACAGGTCGGTTTCAGAATTAAAAAAAGAGGGGAAGAAAGCCTTTACATGAGTTTTTAGATCCCATTTTAAAACAGGGAAAAGAGAGAGAGAGAGAGAGAGAATCAAACGAAAAAGAAATCCCCCATTGTGTGCACAGTCCAGTTGCCAACCCTCCCTCGAGGGATTACGGACGAAGCTTCTGGGTCCTGTCACTTCTGTGGATTTGCCCGGCTGTTTAACTGGTGTCCATCTGTGCATTGTACTCATCCAGCTGTGCATCCAACTGCTCGGCAGAAAGAGGCTCCTTGGAGTTCCTGCTCGAACCTCCTCTACCTCTTCCAGGGCTGCCTCCACGGGTCCCTCTCCGGATGAGACCGCCACCAAAACACCATGAGCCATGGTTTCTACTCATGGAACCTCTGATCATTCTCTGTGCGGGTTTTCTTTGTGAGTCAGTCTGTGATGTCACAAGCTGAATGTTCATGGGGCGGCCATCTAAAGGGACACCATTGTACTGTTTCATAGCCTTCAGAGCATCTGCCTTCTGTCGAAAGTGCACTTGGGCTGTCCCTAAACTTCGTCCGGAGCGATCGTAGTGCACAGCTGCTGTCTTCAGTGTTCCAAACACTGAGAAGAGTTCCAGAATATCCGCGTCTGACACCCCGCAGTCAAGGTTTGACACCAACAGCTTTCCGCCCATCTCCAAGCTGGCTCCACCACAGAAGCGGCTGTCGAATCGGTCATGCTGCCCCTTGTTGGGAAGTTGTATAGGCCTGCTGTACGGAGCCGGCCGGTTCCTGCCTCCTCCTGCAGAGCCACCACTCATGGGCTGTGTCGCACCTGCTGTGCGGCCTGCATCCGAGAATGTATCTAGGTGGTCGGGATAGATGACACAGAGACCGGTCGGTTGCTTTATCTTCCCAAGTCAGCTTAGGAGAGAGCTCTCAGAAGCAATCTCAGGAGAAGTCTCTGGCGAAATCTCTGGAGAAGTCTCCCCAAGAAAATAGAGCTTCCCTTTTTAAGGACTTTTGCCATCCATTTACATACCATTCTTTCCACTTCTCACCCTCCTGGCTGGGGGTTTAATCTCCGGCCCCAGAATCGGGGAGACACCACAGGGGGCAGGGACAGGAAGAGGCATCTAGCCGTAGGAAGTGTGAAAGGGATGGTATTTCAGTGAGCCAGCCCTTATCTGAGCCCTATCAAGCTTTAAAGCACTGAATTGTTTTCAGTAAACAATACATAGATGCCTGCTCCCAGGCCGAAGGGGAAGTGGGTTTCTGCTCAAGGTCTGGTGTCCCCACAATTCACCCCTTTTCATTTTTAAATGAGGCACTCCTGCCTTAGGTCAAGTAGGGTCACCCTCCCTGGCCCGTCTTTGGGGGACCTTGAACCCCTGTTAGGTGGGAGTGGGTCTTCCCCATAAGTTGCCCGTCATTGAAGTAGCCCCACCCTTAAAATCATTTGTAATAAGGCTTTATGGCTATCGGGATTGCCATGGGCTAAGGCACTTTGAACTCAGCATCAAGCCAGAATGCCTACTGCCACTGTTACCATTCCTAGGACCCGACTGACATAGCGCCTCTCTGTCACCTGCCCATCCCCCTATCTGGGCCTTAGCATTCTACCACCAGCCTTTCTTTGCTACAAGGGTGATTTATAGTTACAATTTGACGGTCAAAACAGTGATAAAGTTTACAATTATTTTAAGATCTACTTAGGAAAGCATTAGAGAGTGCGCTTGCACAGATACATTAGGTACAATCATTGATGTTACACATGTAGCATTATAAAAAATATGAACAAGAGGCTTGTTGCACTATTTACAGCGTACCAATTTGTTCCTGTGGTGATGTAGTCTGTTGATTTAATGTCAGTAGTATCAGCCAAACATGCAACCTGAGTCAAAGTCTTTTTGTCGCACCAGGACAAACCACATTTCTCCAGAAAAACACACTGTGATTCCAGAAACAGGAACTACCGAGTCTGATATTTCAAGTGACCATGTCCTGTTCAAATACTGAAAAAAGGCTTTTGCCATTCATCACAGTCCATACCAATGTCTAAATGTTAAATGGGTCCTTTTTCCCCCAAAGGGAAAAGCTGGCAAAATGAATTCTGTTGTTTTAAGGTGTATCAAAGGCTAGCTGCTAATCTTCCAGTTTTGTTGGCTTTGGGATGAAAACTCACGGGTCCAGGAGGTTGATGTAGCAAGCCTGATGAGAAACTGGAAATCTCGAACTGACTGTTTTATTTCTTTCTCGGGCTGTAGATTTGATGACATCAAGGGTCAGGAACACTGATTTAGGAGATCTCGAACTGGCTTGAGCAGGCTCCCACGGTCTCAGGTCCAGTTTTTTCTGCTCCATGCATCTCACCAGATGTTGTGACCGCTACTGAAGCTTTATTCTTTTCCTGTAAGAAAACACAAACATGCCCTCGACCGCAAATTAGGGTCTTCTCTACTGTCTAGTGTATGGATGTTTCCATTTGGCCTGAGTAATAGTTATTTAACTTTCATTATGTCAGAATCTGTCTGAAGCAGATTCCTCACTGGCATTTATATTTTATAAATATTTAAATGAGGAGTGGATTATTTAATGAATCATGTGGAGACTGGGGACATTACTCCCTTTTATTTTTAAATTTTGTTTGAACTGTTGAAGTTGGACCATAACAGTAGAAGGATTTGTCTACCCTCCTTAGTCAACTATCTAGGTGAATTGGGATCACTATTTAAAAGTATTAGTAGATGTCCTTTAAAAGGGGCATAACCATTAAGTACCTTTGAGAATCATTTAAGGATTGTAAACTATACTATGTCCCAAATAGTCCTTTTTTTCTAACCTGTAGCTCTCACTAGCTGACAAGGCCTCATTTGCATCTGAGCTGACAAGGCCTAATTTGCATCTACACAGACACCTTTGGGGGTGGGGGCCTGCCAAAGCGGCAGGACAGTTCCCTGAATAAAACCTCTCTTTCTCTCTCTCTCTCTCTCTCTGACTGGCTCTGAGGGCTTAACTTGAATTTTTTGTTAAAATATTAACCGACTGACTGGATGTTTCTTTTGGCTATATCTAAATCGATTTAGGTAGTTTTTAACTGTTTGAAGGGATTTAAGTATCCCTTTAATCATATCCAAGGCAATTAGAACAGTTGCTTTTGTCAACATTCACGCATTTACATTTCACACTTCATACATACTGACGTGGCCACGTCCATACACACAGACAATGCATACATATCTCTCCTTGCCTAGGTTATGATTAGTTTGTTGAACTGAAACTTCTTTAACAGAACAACTCCAGTCAATCTTTGAATTAAAACAAAAGTTTGAAAAAGTCCTGTATGTCCCTCATCATTTCTTCATTAGAGAAGTTTTGAGCTACACTCAGGGGCTACAGCCATACCCACTCCTTGTAATTCTGTAGATGCAAAGTGGAAAGACCAGGCTTTTGCCAAAAGTTTTTAGAGATGACTCACAAAATTCAATAACCTTCCCTATATAAATGTAACCAAACATTTTTACTTTATATACCTTTGCCTTTTTTTTACTGAATACTAATACCTCATTTATTAACTGTTCCCAATTTTTTAATTGACCTTAAACTTGTATCAATAACCTACCCCATATAAATGTAAACATTTTTATATACCTTTGTCTTTTTCTTTACTGAATACTAATACCTCATTTATTAACTTTACCATTTTTTTACCCATCTTTAATCTATCCTCCCATTGAGGATGATCCTCCAATCCACCCTCCAACTGAGGGCAACTTTTCATCTTAGGTACCCTTGACCTTTGTTAGGTGAGGGCCTAGACATTTAATCTAATCCACCCTTCAACTGAGGGTGATCTCTTAGGTTCCCTTTTTTTCCTGACCTTTTTCAGGCAAGGGCCTAGAGATTTAATCCAATACCCCTCCAACTGAGGGCAATCTCTCAGGGTCCCCTTAATTTCCTGACCTTGTCAGGCGAAGGCCTGGAGATTTCATCCGGTACCCCTAGCTTGGTACCCCCTTTTTAATACATACTTACTTATAGCCTTACTTGTTGGCCAGTCTTTTAAATCTCTCAGTTTTTCTTTACTTTTCTGACCTCAGTGGATCAGGTGAAAGACTGGAGATTTTTTATTTTATTTCTTATTTTACCCTCCTTTTTTTTTGACTGGGTTTCTCTCTATCCTTTTAGAGGCTGTCCTGGAACTTGCTCTATATACAAGGATGGCCTCCATCCTACCTACATCTGTCTCTCGAGTGTTGGGATTAAAGGCATATGCCACCAACACCCGACTCTAAAGATCATAGCGAACATCCTTCCAATCTGGGACATTTAAGTCTCCCCCAGTAATGAACCATGGACTCGCATGTTCAATCCATTTTAAAAAGCCTTCCAAGGTTTTAGACTTTACTGTAGTCCCATGTCCTTCAATAAGTTTTTAACTTGATACTGTAATTCGAGCTTCCCAGAACTATTCCCCATGGTTTCTTTTCTTTTTTTTCCCCAATCTTTCCCAGGCCAGAAAAAAGACAAACCCGCTCACTTACTTCGCTTTCATGATCTCGGTGGGATCCTCCAATTGTCGCACCTGCTGTGCGGCCTGCATCCGAGAATGTAGCGAGGTGGTTGGGATAGATGACACAGAGACCGGTCGGTTGCTTTATCTTCCCAAGTCAGCTTAGGAGAGAGCTCTCAGAAGCAATCTCAGGAGAAGTCTCTGGCGAAATCTCTGGAGAAGTCTCCCCAAGAAAAAAGAGCTTCCCTTTTTAAGGACTTTTGCCATCCATTTACATACCATTCTTTCCACTTCTCACCCTCCTGGCTGGTGGTTTAATTTCCAACCCCAGAATCGGGGAGACACCACAGGGGGCAGGGACAGGAAGAGTCATCTAGCCATAGGAGGTGTGAAAGGGATGGTATTTCAGTGAGCCCTATCAAGCTTTAAAGCATTGAATTGTTTTCAGTAAACATTACATAGATGCATGCTCCCAGGCCGAAGGGGAAGTGGGTTTCTGCTCAAGGTCTGGTGTCCCCACAGGGCTAT